GTAGGGGCTACAGCAGCGGGGAAGAGTCGGAGTCCGAGGAGTTCTTCTTTACCGCCCGCACCTCTTTCTTCAGAAGTCCCCTCGGCCACGCCAAGCCAAGCCTGCAAGTAAGCGTCCGTCTGCCTCCCTCGAGGCTGCCCCGGGGTGCCAGCTGGGCGGGAATCCTCAGGCCAGTCCCACGCCAAGCGCCTTACCCTGGCCTGACCCGCTGCAGGCCGCGCCTTCCTCTCCGGCCCCACGTGTTGTTTCCTGCTCTGGAGCAAGCTCTTATCTCGCTCGGAGCTCGCCCTTGAGCTGCTCTGAGGATGCTCCCACGGTTCCCTTCCTCCCTTCGTAGATTCCGCCCTAAGGCTCCATGTGAGCCGGGAGTCTCGGGGATCCGAGTCCAGGAAGCGGAACGAGAGGGCTGTTTTTCTGCTATTGCCAGATGGCTCCGCTCCGCTCCGCTCCCGCCGCTTGTGTAGCTCAGCCGTTGGAACAGTTCAAACGAGATTGATCTGGCTCCGTAGGCTTGCCAAAAATAGATTTCAGCGGATCCGCTTCCTTGTGAGGCTTGTCAGAACGAGCCCCCGGGCAAAAATTCGGTCCGCGGGGTGACAAAAAGCTGCTCATATGGAACCGCGTGGTCTTGTAGCCATGATCCTCTTGTGCAGGAGTTTCAGCGTTTTTACCAAGACGAGTAGTAACCGAAGTAACTTGAGTCGCTTACGTTAACTTGTCCGTCGTTGTATTTCTTTTCGATACTGTATGAGAAAGGCAAGGTCCATGCTGGGGTTCTTTAGGAAAGTAATTGAAAATAAACCCGTAAACGTTGTTGTGCCGTTTATGCAAAGCTATGTCGGCATCTGGAATATTGTGTACAATTGTGGCTGCCACATTTGGAATAGGTTGCAATAGAGCAGGAAAAAGGTGCATAACGGGGCAACCAGAATTATTAGAGGACTCAAAACATCTGGCTTAAAATTAAAAGTTAGAACATTTGTGACTTTGGCTTAGAAAAAGGTCTTTCTGGGGGTCATTACTGAAGTGGAAAAAATCATGCATGGTATGGAAAAAGTGGACATGGAGAAGTTTTTCTCTGTCTTTCAAAACCCTAGGATCAGAAATTATCCAATGATGCTGATTGGAAGCAGATTTAAAACAGACCAAAGAAAGTATTTCCTCACACATATGATAAGTAACCTGTAGAATTCATTATCACAAGACATGGTGCTAACATAGGTGACTTTCATTTCTTTTTATTAAGCCGTTTTTTAAAAAAGGGGAAATAAAGGACAAAATAAATAAGGACAAAATACAGGGTATTTACAAGTATTGTATTTAGTTAAAATTTTCAATATTTCATTAATTTGTGTGCGTGCGCACACCTTCAAGTCAGTGTTGACTCCTGGCAACTACCTGGGCTAGTCTGCAGTTTTATTGGCAAGGTTTTTTGGAAGTGGTTTGCCATTGCCTCCTTCCTAGGGCTGAGAGAGAGGCTGGCCCAAGCTGCCTTTTTGCCTAATGCAGGACTAGAACTCACGGTCTCCCAGTTTCTAGACTGATGCTTTAACCACTACATCAAGATTGCTCTCTATTTCATTAATTACCTTAACAAAATGAATTATATTGTTGTAAAATGTATGAATTAATGTTAAAATCCAAATATTATATGAATATCAACAGCAATAGTCAACATGTTATAAATCATAAAGTGTGAAATTAAGATTAGTAATTTTTGTCCAAACAGTAAAAGCTTTTTCTTAAGAGAAAATCAAGTTTTTGATGTGATACAAGCCCATATAGAGAGTTTTAATGGATGACTTTCAAGGGTTATTGGATAAATTCATAAAGGATAGGTCTATCAACAGAGATAAGTCCTGAAGACTCAGTATAACCTCCAGGTGATGTAGCATACCACCAAGTATTTGTTGCATCTATGAACTATGGGAAGAGGGGTATGTCATTTCCTGGTGGAAGAACTCTAAAGGGATCTGGTTGTCCTTTGTGAGAATCAGAATATTGAATTATGATGGGTTTTGGCCTGTTTCAACAGCAGGTTTTTACTTTACAAGGGAAATAATGTATTGTTTTTTGTGTTTTTACCTAGCTATCTTTTAAGAACTTGATAAGCTTAAATTAACCTATAATAAATGATCAAACCTGTATTAGTTACAAAAGAGTCTGTTTGGTGTAATGGTTAAGGCATCAGGCTAGAAACCAGGAGACCATGAATTCTAGTCCCACCTTAGGCACAAAGTCAGCCCTAGGAAGCAGGCCATGGCAAACCACATCTGAAATCTTGCCAAGAAAACTGCAGGGACTTGTCCAGGTAGTTGTCAGGAATCAACACTGACTCGAAGGCACCAAAAAAAAAAAAAAGTTGCAAACTGTATTGATTGAGAACTACAAAATGGCTTTTTCAGCAATACCAGTAGGACAGTCTTTGTTTCAGTAGGATGCTACATGAAAAGGACATGCCTGCCTAAAACCTTCTATTGACCAGTGTGCTTTACAAAAGTATCCATGCGTGGAATGTATGCACATTGAAGAACTGCATCTCAGGATGATAAAGTAATAAGAAGCAGACACCTGAGTTTCTTACAGTTGGGATGTGAATTGTATGGATCAATACTATATGTAATCCCTTCCAACATGGCATTATTGCTTTTGAATTGGGTTGAGATGCTTAACTTTTTCCCCTTTGCCCTTTCCAAAAACAATTTCCTGGAGGAATATAATAAATCAGTTGTAATTATTCAAGTGATGTGCTGTCAAAATGATATCTTAAACACTTTCCTGTTATAAACATGATCATTTTAATGTTAGTTTTGACTTCTTAGAGCTTAAGCTAATTGTAGTCTGACTCAGTTGCCTAAGTTATGAGTTACAGGATAATAGAGCTTAAATTTTACACAAAAGTGAATTATTTGGGACAGAGGTTTTTCATAGTTGCAAAAGCATTCCCAGGGAGGATCAGGTGACAGGATTAGGAATCCAGGTAGCACTGATATCTTGGTTATGGGCTAGCTCTTAAAATAAACACAAATCCTTTCTCATATTATTTCAGTGGTGGTCTGTAGCTTCCTAAGGGTTTTTCAGTATTTGAGTCCATGATAGGTGCTGGAAATGGCAACAGAAAATTCTTCATAGCATTCATAGAACTTACAAAGCAGGGCCTGGCAGGAAAACTATATGGATATATTCAGGTAGTTATCAGAAGTTGAGTTCGGCTAAAGGGAGACTTTATCTTTCTTTTCCCCTTGCAGTAGGAAGAGAGCCAGTCTGGTGTAGTGGTGAAGGCACCAGGCTAGAAACCAGGAGACCAGGAGTTCTAGTCCTGCCTTAGGCTTGAAGCCAGCTGGGTGATCTCAGGCTAGACACTCTCTGTCAGCCCTAGGAAGCAGGCAAGGGCAAACCACTTCTGAAATTGCAGAAACTCCAGGGATTTGTCCAGGCAGTCGCCGGGAGTCAAGACTGCCATGAAGGCACCCAAAAAAACAAAAAAAAAAGCAACAGTGTAAGTTATGGAGTAAAAGAAAGAAAAGTGAGCAACTCATATGTGCTTTAAGAAGGTTTTGGGCATGGAACAAGTTCAGGCAGCAAGGGAGAATCCTGCAGGATTTGCATGCCTTCTGGGAATATGCCAGCTTTGGTTGGCTTTGATTTATATACAGTAGTATGTGCCAGCCTTGTGAGGTAGTCCATATAGGAAGCATGCCCAGATGAACCAATTCTACTTTATTGTAAGGTTATATTAACAGAAACTTGCAAGTCTGAAAGTACGTATCTCCCCGTTGCCTTTACAGCCCAAGAAACTACAGAGGGTCCCTTCTGATTTTTGCCACGCCCACATTCCTTCTGTGGGCAAAGCTGCCTCTTACTCTTATCTGACTGTTCCCCTGGCTGTGGCTCTTCCCCCATCTCTCAAGGTCATTCCCACAGACCATTACAGTATGTTGGTTTGTGTAACCTTGGATCTACAACATGATACTTGGGGACAACAATGTGCCCGCTAACCTTACTTTGACAGCTGTTAAGCCACATATTTATCCAATTAATTTTAGATTCTTAAAATGTGAGTGGCTGCAGCCCAGAACTTTGTTTACTTTCTGGTAGGTATGTATTAAGATGGGTGGTATCTAAATTTGAAATATAAATAAAATAAATACGGGAATTGAAGATTCTGAGAAGTCTAACCCATTTCATGCCTTTGGACCATCTGAACTCACTCCAGATCATACCATTCCAAGGATGGTTCATCAGTTTTCTAGAAGTAAATCTCTTGAACTGGAAGTGGTTATAGAGATTCTGAGATAATACAGCCCCAGAATAGTCCTGCTTTATTTGGTACACCATATTCTAAACACCTAAAACTGCTTTGGTGCTGGTTTGCTTCCAGAAAACCACTGAACTAACCCAGAACAGCATGACCTGTAGCAGGTTCAGCTTGGTCCAAGAAGAAACAAAACACTGTGGAGTTCTCTAATGTTTTGTTTCCAAATACGACTTTTGTATGTACTGTATGTATAATACCTGTAATGTGACGTCAAAATTCCAAAGGTGTCCACCAGCCAAAGAGTTTGGAGGGCCCTGTGTTAAAGCATGAATGGACTGATCTGGAATTAATAATGCCTGCTTGCAGATGGAGCAAACGATTATGCACTTGCATGATCTGAAAGTATATAACAACATATTTTTTTCCAGCTTAGCCATACTGTGGCTTACAATGACATATGAATGTGCTCTGGGTGTAGTCAATTAAGACAAGGTTTTTGGGCAGCCATAAATAACACTTGGGAAGAGCAGAGGTCAGGGATGGAGGTGTATCATGGAGATGTATCAGAGACACGAAGCATGGAATTAAGGAAGAACAAGGTTGAAGTCTTAAAAGATTTACGAACAAAAAGTTTATGGATACGGAAGGGCAAACTGCTATTAACACCACAGAATTCTGGCAAAATTATATAGTTGAGCCACATGTTTCTACTTCTAGCTCTTAGTGTAATATGAGAAAGGTAGACAGGATGAACTTGACAGTAGTTGGTTTTTAGTTCAAGAATCAAAGGCTAAGTAATTCTTTTATGTTCTTTTAGACTTGGCATTACATTCAGCAGAAGGATTGTGC